CAAGAAACTTTACACTTACTTGCTCAATACTGGCTTGTTTTTAGTAACGAATTCTGAGTATAAGGCCAGAATAACTTTAATTTTTCTTCGTGTATTAAAACTTTTTATATAAAACATTCGCTCATCAGCTCTGGTTATCACCTTCATTAATTTATTCTGCCAAATATAACCAGTTAAACCTCCGCAGATGATATTTCAATGTTAAATCATTCGTTTAAATTTCAACTAAGTATCAGCATAAAACAATGATTCGAAGGATAATGCCACATTTACAAGAACACTCAAGTCAAGTCAATGACTACGCTTTCTGCTTTTTTTTTTTTGTCTGTGATATATCAATGAAAATAACATTTTAAAACTATGTATTTATTTCTAATGTCAATTGTCATTGGTCAATTATGACGTTTACATTATCTATATACACGGAAGATTAATTTTTCTTAAGTTTATTTCTATTTCAACCATATAAACATTTATGCACAATTACGACTTTTGACGGGTTTAACAATCCTGTATAAACATTCGTTTGCTATATAAGCTTGCTTAAAGTTATGAATTGTTTACACTGGATCATATAACCTATCAAATATCTCTGTTACTAATATCATAACGATCTATTAGCATGCAATGTTGTTGAAACAACTGTGTTGAAGATGTAGTTGCACTATCCTTAATTGTTCAAGAAGCATTTTTAATAAATATAAGATTCTGGTCACCTTGTTTTAGAACAAATGAAATAAGAAAAGAACGGTATTATTGTCAATACTTTTTCTGTAATTAAATAGCAAAATACGACGATGTTTTTAGACTGATGTTGTTTTGAAAAAGTTATCATTACTCTCTGAAAGATGAAGACGTTGTCATTTTATCATTTAGCTAAAGACATAACAGTATCGAATATCATGTTATGCAAATAATTGGCATATTAGTGTTTGCATGTTGGGCAAAATTAACATGATTTGTTTTTGTTGTTGTTTTTTTTTTTGTTTCTTTCATCTGCTTTCCATACATTGTAAAGCATGATATACACAGCTTACAAAATATATTGTAAGCTTTAAATGAACCAATTGTGTAAATTTCAAATTGAGACGTTACAAATTTACTTGCTGACGAGTCGTCATATGAAATGATCTATTGTCCCCTGCCCAATTCGAACCCACATCGACAATGATTATGTCGGCTAACTAATAAACTACGCATAACAAAACACTATTACATTGCCAGTCTTAATCGTCAAGCAATTGTTATTGTTACTGCACGGAATATACCTGTCATAAATGATTATAATACTACTAAATGACAATTTTTATTAATCCAAAATTAAATGTTTACATATAGTAATAGCAATTTATATATATATGCATATATTCTCTTCAAAAAGTCTTTAAATTAATGTCCCTATTTTGATTATTATTCTAAAGACACTTGAACTTAAGATCAACAATGCTTTTACTTTGACATTTGATAAAAACAACAACATGATTTTTTCTCCGGAAACCTATTTATTATACACACACTAATAAGCGTAATATTCCGTAGACTTCTTTTGATCTTGGTTAACAAGTGCAAATATAATACTCTAAAGAATTGCATCTAGTACGATGAAGATAGAAAGACGGGACTTGATACAAAATCTATATCACGACAATTGACATGCACTGCTTTAATTGCCTCCAGCAGAACAAAGAACAGTAAATATTGCTATTATTCAACGTCGTGGCAGTTTTTGAGATGTAATGAGGACTTTTAGTGCAGCATCAACATTGTTTGGGAGATCGATTGAAGAATGAAAGTTATATAATACTGATTGATATTTATTTCATGTTTGTTTTATTTCAATTTTCTTTCTAACTTGTATGACTGTGCTGATAAATTACGCGTTTAGTGTACGGCGTTACATATGACTGAATATTTTAAATTTTACCTTTTCATCAATATGACATTGGTGTATTTTTTACAGGTGAATAATATCGACTTTATTGTATGTTAAAACAAATGGCATTATATAGGAAAACTTTAAAATATTAGACATTTTGGACATGATTACAAGTTTATATTGAAGTGTGATATCTACATGTGTTTAGTGTGAACATGTACGCAAAGGTGCTCTCTGATATTGCTCTATTTCCTTTTAATCCATTGGACATATTGAACATGAATAGGTGATGAACAGAAATAATATCAATATTCTTAAAACTTACGGTATTGTCCACCTAATGCACTACCTCCGCATTGAAAAGTATTTAAATAGGCTAGAATTAATGTCAACTGCATTTAAAATGAGGGGCATTGGTTCAAACCCCTTTTTCTTTCTTTTGTTTTTCTTTTTATGTTTATAAGTATGTCTCAAATCCCTTGTTGACTACAAAATGCAAAATTTAATGACAAATGTGGTAATTGAAATTTTCAAAGTATAATAAAATCAAAACTTCACGGTAAAACTATTTTATATTTGACAAGATTAACCAATATACTTTTAAGAAAATTTAAGCAAACTTTGAAAATAGCCCCACACTTTAGTAAATTTTAGGGATATTTGGAATAAGGTTCTCTAAAAAGGTAAATGGTCACGTATTTAAAATGGATGGGTTGGGGTAACATTTTTGTACATATTTCACAATATTTTCAGTAGAAACTATTATTTTGCTTGCATAGTTTGTTAGCTGAATGCTATTTTTTCTTAACAAAGATCAACAGGAAAACATTTTTCATAATGATGATATGAAAGATAATTTAGAGTTTCCTCATTCCAGAACAACAGTACTTCGAATATCAGAAACATTCCCATAACTGGTAAACCGTACGGTAAACTTTTAAATTGTGCATACATGTACATGCATATAACTGGCCTACAGTTCCTAATAATGTCCATGGGGGGGGGGGGTCATACCTAAAGTAGATAGAACGATTGTGAATCAGATTTAATATCCGTAATATAAAATTACATAAATGTTTCAGACATAAAGGGTTAATGCCGGAAACCATTATCAATTGTCAACAGGAATAACGCAGACAAGTAAAAGAAACAATTATCTTTTGCTTTAGAATATCAATACATGTTCATTTATAATCATTCTAAACGATGCACATAATAAAGCATATAGAAAAGTGAAACATAACCTATGGTGGACTGGATTCAACTATGCAATTAGTGTAAAAGATTACTGTTGCTTTTAGACTTGCACTCAAATATAAAATTATAAATTGTCTTTCAATTCATTGGAATATTTTGGCCTGTAATAGATAAACTGCTTTTATAATTCAAGGTATTGAAATAATCAGTTATCTATACATGTAGTTGAAACAAAGCTATTGTAGAAATACAAGACGAATTGATACAGGGGCATAAAAACAATATACTACTAGTATGTTTTTGACATATTATAACCGGAGTACATACATGTTCATGTGAATGGATATTAAAAAGATCGTATCATACTCAAGATTTTCAAGATTTTAAATCAAAAGGCATTTAACATTTAACAATGTCCGTAGCCATAAACAAAATGACGGTTACAAATAATATATGAGAAAAGTATGTAACTGAATACAAATAATTTTTACATTAACAAGGTTATATTGTTAAGAACACATATACATTGTATTTCAATATATGTTTGTAAATAATAGTATGCTTTATATACCAATATCATTATTTGAAAACAATCAATCATTCGTTTTATCACGTAATGCATTTGCAAAGTAGATATATTTTGATAACCTATTAACAGTTTTATGCTTAGAATATTTTTCATTAAAGATATAAATTTATTTAAGGTAGGCCGAGAACAATAATATTTTGGTTAATGTTCTTTTCTTAATTCCCTATAAAATGGACAAACTTGTAAAAAGTGATATTCTGTTTCAATTTCATTTATATTATATTTTAAACAAATTCTCTGATCTCTGGCAATACTGTGTAAGGTACAACACATTGAAATCACAAGTCATGTAGACATTCTTCCTATATATATATAGGCTTGTATACATAGTGTTTAATTCGACAATAAAGGACTACCTAACATTTCTATAGAAGACCAATGACAATAGGGCTTATAACATTTTGTTTATATGTCTCCTAAAAACGATAAGCAGCAACATATACAGTTTGTTTTATAAAATTCGCTATTAACACCGTATTTAACAAAACAGGTAGTAAAGTTCATTTTGCTCATCCGTAAAAAAATGTGATGAATATGATCTTGTGTGGAAGAAAATGACTTTTGATAAAGCGATAACAGAAATCATTTATTTTAAATGAATTTTGTTGAATGTGTTTTCCTTTGAAGAAAATAATATTATCCGTTTATGTCGATACGAAGTTTCAATGTTCTTTGATCTGTACATTGTTATATTCTTTGAGCAGAATAAACTATGGACAGAACGCATTTCGAAAGCTAATATCATGTTAAAAAATCGTAGATATTTTGAATCGAATTAGTTTCAGGGACTAATTAATTAAGTTAAGAGTGACATTTCAAAGATCACTAGCACACACCTTACCATGATTCAGAATCATCAAATAACTGTATTCACATTTAATGCAATTAAAGTGTCATGGTTTTTTTATCCTTTGATACTTTAAGCAGCGATGCTTTCTGATCCAAACGTTACATGCCAGATGATACAGAAAATGTGAATGTCCATCTAGTGTGATATTTTTTTAATTCATCTTAATTCACTTAACTTTTTTCCCCATAAATATTACCATACTGCAAACGTATCGGCTCAGTCTTCGAAACAATCAAATATATCATTTTAAAAATTCAATTCTAAAATGTATACTTCTTATTCAACGCTTTTTTAATGAATTATATAACACTTTAAGTGAAAGTATTACAGTGAGTTTTAAAGAAAGTAGCACGCGTTATTATTGAGAGATTTGTTTACAGAGTAGCATCTTACTCGGTCTATTACTATTGGAAAGACAGTTTGTGAGTACAGCGTTTAATGACTACTGCCTTATACAGAGATCCGATATACCAATTTTGGCGTTATGCTCCCCTTTGGATTTCTTATTTAATATTTGGATTACGCCAACGTGTGTGGATTTTATATATAATACATGGATATTTATAGAAGCTGGAATATACGTTTTTACTTTGGACTGGATGATTATATCATATAACCGGGGTAAAAGGATTAATTTATAAGTTGTTTCACATTTACTATTTCATCTGTCATATTCGGAATATCTGAAATAAGGATGTGTTTTGACATGAAATGGATAATATTGATAATATATTTTGGGATATAACATCAATATAGTAAATGCTTTACATAACAGAAATAAGAAGATCGTTCAGTATCAAGTATCGCTATTATTTCTTAAAAGCTTTCTATTTTACAGTTTCTGAATAGATGTTTACTGGTCTAATAGCTTAAGCCTTTTTGTATTTTGAACATAAGTAGAGTTATAGTGATTATATTAGACAAACTGTCACTTTGCCATCATTTTAACATTATAAAACAAACACAAGTTTGCATTTTCTTAAGAACAAATATCGTGCTCATGTCACATGACTTATTAAAATTCATTGCTTGATTATTTATACTAGTACAGTATAGCATTGGCAAATTAAGTACATAACCATTTATTGGCAACAAAAATAATTCTAGGTTGAAAACCAAGTTTGAATGTAGTATAAAAATACATAAAAGTTTAACCTTTGCCAAACGAAGGATGGATTTTTGTTAATTACTTTTCTTACCCCAACCTTTTTGTCAATTATTGTTTTGTCCAGTATGGTCATTTTTATTCCTCCAAATCTGTTTATTTTTGGTATCTTGTTTCGGTTTCCAAACAAAAATCATTTGCAAAATAAATGAACTACTTTTGCTTCCTTTGGTCTGTTGGCAATTGTTATAATTATAGTGAAATACTATTTCGTATGGAAGTCATAATATTACTTTGTTTACTACTTTTACGACATATTACTGCACATTCAGCGCTACTTTCTTCAGTTTTTAAACATCTAACATGCTCTTAATCCATAATCAAAAAAATTATTAAACACATGATTGTTTGACATTTCTAGATAATTAAAATATATTGATTTTTGAAGCCTAATGAGCCTTTAATTTATAGAGTATAGTATAAATGTATTTATTACTTTGTTTAATTTCGTGTTTTGCTTGACGGTATTTCATCAACATGAGTGTATACTAAAATATTATGTTATACATTTAATAATATCGTGGACACATGTAAGAACATGTTTGTTGTCATAGTCATATTGATAGAATTTGATTTTGGTGTGAGATAGCAGAATTATGAAACACGTAAACAATAAAGTCATTTCTGAGAAAGTGCTCTTAATTAATTGCGTTCGCATTAGAAATGGATGGTCAAGTATAACGCTGTTTTTTAATTCCAAGTAGAGTTGTTTCTAATTCAATATAAATGTAAATATGAGTTTTTGTTACAATAATAACTTTATAAATTCTACAGTCAAGAAAAACTTTACTTGTAGACACTTCTGCCAATAGTGCATCAACTGAATGAGATATGATATCAACCGTTAACAAATTATCTTTAAGTATAAGTCAATCTAAATCTATTAACGATTATTTTAGAATTACACAAATATACAATAAGAGTTTGAATATAGTAATCAACTCCAGTTTCAATTCAAAATGTAATTATTTTATTTAAAATATATACAACTTTTCGACTCAAAAGTCTTCATCAGGTATACTTTGACTTTGTTTACAGGAAATACAAATATACAATGTACATTTATCTTAAGCAAATAATTGCTACATAAATATTGAAGTCCAAGTAAAAGAGCACAGTAATTCTCAAAAAATTCGTATGTTTATGTAAATATGACAATCATCTGTTAATAAATAACAAATAACATTGTGCTAATGAATTTAAGTCAAATGAGATGCTTATGAATTTAAAATGATTAGTTACAAAGCCAGCAAAATGGGAACAATGTGGTATTTAGACTTCCAATGAAATAAAAACTAAATCACTGTCACATTACTAATTGCCTAAACAAAAAAGAAACAAAAGATAGATAAGGTATCTGGCAATTAATTAATTGCTATCTTCGCGACATTTTTGAAACTATAACACGATACATAAATATAATTGATTATTTCCCCTTTACAAAATATGAATTTTCAATATTTTTAGAGTAAAGGGACCTTGAAAATGATTGTTAATAAGCAAATTTTAAGTATGCAGGATATTCTTCTACAAATACAGGATATATTTTCACCGAGTGGTATGAAAATAAATATTTCACGAGTGGCAGTAACCACGAGTGAAATATGATAATCTTCATACCACAAGATGAAAATAAAACCTGTATTTATAATATCATAGAATAAACTTGAATTATCTGTTTATTATTATAAACTTTTCTTCTTTTCAACCTTGAAATCTGAATAGGAAAAATATTCTCTTAATTGTTTCTATTGGCTGAACTTAGAAGAAAGTAATCCGACAAGACTTTCAAACTTTCAAACTTTTATTTCCATCTTAGGTTTACATCAAGTAAACAACATAAGCATCGTTTTATAATAATTACAGTGAATAATGGCGACACCAGAAATAAAAATACTCATTTTATTTCATCAATATTTCTCAGTATTTCATTTATAAGAATATTATAAACACTCCTATTTTATAAACGATGGCAAAATTAGCGTTGCGTGTACAGTGAAATTAGCATTACTTTTTATCTTTCATCTTTTTTTATCTGTTTGTTTTGTTCTTGTTTATTTGTTTCTTTAATTTGTTGTTTGCATTATGTTATAAAACATTATGAGTTTCGAGCGTGCTATAGGGAAAACAGTTTCCAGGAGCTACCTTTTAATAAATTATTATTCTTCAAATTATGAAATATTATGACATCATTTAAGTGATGAAAATTTAGTGATAACATCATAATTTACGCTCAGTGTGTTTGTAAATTAGGGTTATTGCATGGGGAGATAATTCCGATGATATTATTTATGATATTCTCCATTTATCAGCTGGATTGATTTTACATATTTTATCTAAACAGTTTGCTCGTCTTTTTCCCTCTGAATTTACTATGCTTATCTTTGAGTAAAATATTTCTATCATTTAAATTTATTGAAATCTATAAAACTATTACAAAATATGTCTTATTTAAATTACAGATCGTTCAAACTATGTATGGGAACCTGCGTTTCTTATTACGGGTAAAGTAAAGCTGGTCTTTTCTGTAAAAAACTGCCCGTTTTGAATTTTATTTGTTTGGGTTGTCAGACCAAACAAATAATGGTAGCGAAATTTCAGACCCTGGTATGCTTATTTGCCAAAAAACGAAAGTAGTCCAATCTCCTCGAAGCGGTTACTTCCCTTTATAAGTACAATAATGACGAAAATTAAGGGGAGATCAATGCGTAAAGATTGTCAAATGACAGGCGCATTAATTTTCAAGCCTTCAATTGGAAAGAAAAAGTATTTTCCGATTGGTCGAAGATTTCTAATACTATGTAATTTTTTACAGATATACATGCTTATATTAAGTTCCGTGATTATTTACATCAATGTTAAACAACAGGTTTACCGTGAACAAAATATCTCGAAATTAATATTAGCCTTATAGCCAAATTACTACAGTTACAACACTGGAAACAAAATTGGTGGCACTATACAAAAACAAATTGGTTGATAATCTCACAATCTTCACCTTTCTGACATTATGAGACCCAAACAAATTCAGCGACATCAATCACATTATGCGTATGTCAACTTATAGTGTTATAGGGTTTAATGCATAACATTAAACAAAACATGTTTATTCTATATTTACAATAAGACCGTGTAGTAATTATCAATATTTATCAATTATGAATAAGAAGCACCAAAAAAAAAAAAAAGAAAAACAACATGCAAAACAGTTATAGTCAGCTAGGCTTTTTTTTCTTTTTATAAAACAATATATTTACTTCTTTACTTAAAATATTGATTGCAAAAAAAGACTACTTGAGGCAAACACTCAAATCAGGTGAGCGATTTCTAAAATTAAATACAAAATTAATGTACAAATTGATAAATATTGATAATTACTACACGGTATTATTATTATAATTATTATTATAACGGTACTTATCCTTCAAAGCGACGTATTTACTAATCTTGAGAGACTCTTAATTAATTTTACATCGAACTAAAAAGGTAAGGGATATAAAAGTTGAGAATTGAACTGAACAAGGGGCCATTGAGAAATAGTATAGTCTGTTTTAAAGTTACTGAAATAATATTTAATAAGGGGTCACTGGATAATAGCGCGGTCCGTTTTGAAGTTACTGAATAAATATTAAACAAGAGGCCGTTGGGAAAAATCGCAGTTCGTTATGAAGATACTGAAACGATATCTAGGCCACTGTGAAATAGTGTTGTCCGTTTTGAAGGTACTGAAATAATATTTAGGCCACTGGGAAACAGCGCAGTCCGTTACGACGGTACCGAAAAAATATTGAACAAGAAGCCACTGAAAAATTGTGTAGTCCGTTTTAAAGGTACTGAAATAATTTTGAACAAGGGACAGCTGGGAAAAAGCGCAGCCCGTTTTGAAAGTACTGAAATATTATTGAACAATGGGCCACTAGGAAATAGCGCAGCCCTATTTGAAGGTACTGAAATAATTTTGAACAATGGTCCATAAGTAATTGCGCAGTCCGATTTGAAGGTACTGAAATAATAATTAACAAAGGGCCACTGGGAAATAGCGCAGTCCGTTTTGAAGGTACTGAAATGATATAAAACAAGGGCCCACTGGGAAAAAGTGTAGTAAGTTTTGAAGGTACTGACATAATATTGAACAAGGGGCCGCTTGGAAACAGCGCAGTCCGTTTTGAAGGTACTGAAATAATATTGAACAAAGGGCCACTGGGAAATAGTGTAGTCCATTTTGACACTACTGAAATATTATCGAACAATCTATAGATACTTTTGCCATTATTAATTCACGCATTTGATAATATTAAAATATCGTATAAGCTAGAATTATTATCGACACAACGTTTGATAAAAAAATTTCCTCCTGTCCTTAACGTTTATATTTAGAGAGAATTTCCTGGATATTAACTTGTCACAAAATAACGAGATAATCAAGTCAATCCAAACAAATTAGAGATAAAAAGTTTTTTTAAAAAAAAACGCATTTTCTAATTAGTTAAAGATTAAAAAGCGAGGATCAATATTATAAAGAAAATATTTCGAGCAGATACTGTAGTTATTCTGATTGAATATGACTATCTATCCTTACATAGCCGAATTTACCTATTATCTAATCCATCTTTTTTCGATTGCTTTTTGGCAATTTGTGCAGTTAAAGTGATTTAGTATTTTGTATGTAAGTTAAACTACTTCTTTGTTTATATTTTGCTACTCTATGATAAATAATTTCACATTTAACGTTACTTTCTTCATGTAACAAAGATCTAACATGCTCTCAAACGAATATTTAAACGTATTCAAACTCATTTCTGCCCTTTCTTAAGAAATTAAAAAATATTTGTTTCTAATATGCCTTTTTAAGTTATTTTCGGGTGATACATATACTTACCGAAACATGTGTATGATAGATAGTAAGGTTGCAGGTTTTACCTTTAAGATGTTTACATACATGTATACATGTATATTCCCTGCGGAAAACTTATCAGCCTTTCTAAACACATATCTGATTAAATTCTTTAGCTCAGCTTCAGTGTTCGATCTAAAGCCTCATCCTCAACAACAACATGTTTTATTTCGATTATTTAATCAAATAAAATATCTTGGTGCATACATTAAATTAGATATACACTTTCTTTTTTATGATCGCTTGTCAAAACAAATCAGTAATAATGCACTAATTATTAAGCAACATTCAAGTAAATTTCTTATTCATTAAAGACAAATAGACAAGGGCACAAACCAGAACAGACTTTTCAATATTTTCATCACATCAAATTTACCCATCACAAACTTGAATTTCATTGTATATACAAAACTGGGATAGATATTAAATACAACTTGAAACTACATCTCTTATTTCCGAACATAAGTGTATATAGCTGTCATTTTCTATGAATTCTGCTTTAATATATAAGCCGTGCCATGACAAAACCAACATAGTGCATTTGCGACCAGCATGGATCCGGACCAGCCTGCGCATCCGCGCAGTCTGATCAGGATCCATGCTGTTCGCTATAAATTTCTCTACTTGTACGAAGGTGTGTAAGCAAACAGATGGATTCTGACCAGACTGCGCGAATGAGCAGGCTGGTCTTGATCCATGCTGGTCGCAAATGCACTATGTTGGTTTTATCATGGCACGGCTCATATAGATTTTAGTGTAAAATATTGTTGGTTTTCTTTTATTTATAGCTTTAAGAGTTTTTTTTAATCTCTACGTAGATCTACTGCGTAACAGCATCATCTCAAGAAGAAGTTCGCGGAGTTTGCATGTAATGCACTTAGTTTAATTAAATAATTCCTAATTAAAAATACATAATATTGTTTACTGATCATCATGGAAATCTAGATATTAATCATACATCATTTAGCAATTAGAATCATTTTAGTGATTTTGTATTTCATTTTTCATTTTAAGGCGGACTTGTACAATATAAAAAATTTTAGAATTAAATACAAAACAAATATGGAATCACATAACGTGATATTGTTTTCCCGCGCTATTGCACGTTTATTTCCTTAATAATATTGCCCTCATGCAAATACAGGCCACGCCATTATTAGCTGCAACAATAATTCATAATAATTTGTTTACTTTACTAATTAAATAGCTATAACAATTATAATCTTTGAAATTAAAGTAAAGGTTATTTAACAGTAATTGCATGGTGAATCGATTAGGAAAATATAATATTATTTTATATAAAACCGTGTTATATAAAACCGATTGCCATCGCATCTCACTTTCCAGTTTTTTCGATGTGATTGGTCATATTTACCTTTGTCTCTTTGATAGAGCTATTCCAGCCTGCACTTTCGTGACGTCTGCCCAGGCTTTATATACTGTTTGCTGACCTGACTAACTTCAAATCTTTTTAAGGGAAGCGGTGGCCTAGTAGTTATGGTGTCTGTTTCTCAACCCAGAGATCATGGGTTCGAGCCCTACTCGGGTCAAGGCCATGTTTCTTCTTCTTGCCAGAACTTGTTTCGCAATCTTGCTTAAATGAATATGTTTAAACCAACCAACTTCAAATCTTATCTTTAGATAATCCAAAACTTGATAATGGACAGTTCTTTAAAATGAAATTTCGACCAATCTGCATAATAAGTTTAGAAGATTTGGGGTGAGATACGATGTATCTTTAAGTTAATCAAAACAACTACATTCATTTATAACTTCCTCTTGAGTAAATTAAGAGATATCATGTTACATTATATAAAAAATATAGAACTTAATGTTTTCTTCGTCACAAACGGAAACACTAATAAAATATCTTAATTACTCTATTATAAATATAGGTCATTGAAGCACAATCACAGAGGAATGTTAACAACAATTTATATATTTGGAACACAAAAGACAAGATGGATCAGAATGGAGGATAGTAATGTTAACATCTCAAATACCGTTGAATGGACCACTATGTACTTCTAACATGATAATCTCAGCATTCTGAATTCTCAGGGCATTCGTGTAGATGAGTTTACGGTATAGAGGACTAATGTAAATATTTGATGGACTTAATTGGATCTGTCATTATTCTGATGTATTTTGGCATTTAGACGCCTTAGTGAACAGAACAGAACGTGCAGACAGTACTGTTTAAACTCAAATAAAGACAGTGTAGATCTCATTTTGATGAACAAATGTCAACATTGAATAAAGAAATCTGGACCAAGAAATAATGGCAACAACGAAATCAGCTTGGACATGACGAAAATGCCATTTAAGAAGATTCTGATCAGACTGTTTGATCAACGGTATCGAAAAGGTAGGTTCATTCTTATGTTATTTGTTACTTCCCTTTAACATCTTACGCCATTTGTAAAGTAACTAACTACAATGATACGTCCACATAAAAAATGTTTTACTGACATTGTCACGTAAGTTGAAATAAACGAGGTAGCCACAGATTGTGAAAATTAAATTTCTGCATCCTTTGATATAGGATCTATACTGGTATAGATCTACCAACTTCGGAAGAAAGAATTCGAGCTAAACCTACAGCCAAGTCGTCCGTTGCCGTCCCAAAACTTAAAAAGGCTTAAACATTCGCAAAATGTTATTTTTTGCTATTTTTTTACATTTCAATGGATCGTCTTCATTCTTGGACACAACAACCCTTTAGTCAAGACCTTCAAGACGTCAAAACTGAGCGTGACTAAAACTTGTCTTAGAATATCAAATGTTTGAATTTTGCTTGACATGCATGTTGATTTATTCAGATTTGAATGACCTTGATTAATAATGTCAAATAAATAATTGGAGTTACGTCATGAACAAGAAAATGTACTAGTAGTTAATATCTTCCTTTGATGACTTAAGAAATTATAAGAAAAGGCTGAATGTGGCCCTTGCAATGTGGTGTATTTTGTTTTATCACCTACATGTGTATAATATCCATCATTCAAATCAGGCTCACTTGAACTGATACATTTTTGTTGATAATGAATTAATGATTCAAATTAAATAGACTAAATAACATGTACGTAGCCAAGTGGGTTAAATATCACACTTTATAATCTTCTATTTCTGTTCTGTTTCTGTTTTGTATAGTGGGTTATGTCTTTTTGGTAGCATTGATAAATTAATGTCCTTGATTGAGGTTGGAAATAGATACATATATTTTCTAAATTTGATTAGATTATTGTATGATATTCCATGGTTTTGATATTATAAAGTCATAATGCAGGATTGTTATATAACCTCAAAGGCCATGTGCTTAACTATTTTATTACAAAACATCTGAACTGATAAAGCATGTGATACTTATAATATAATTTGTGAGAAATTATATCTATTTCCATTCTAATTATGCTCCTAGCAAACAACGTTGAACTACTTTCAATGAAAAAGTGTATTGTTTGTTTGATTTCCCATTATTTAATGTAAAGAGTAATTTTGGGGACTTGGACATGTAATGTAAGTCCTGCTAGGTAATCTCATCATTGTGGATTGTGGAAGTTGAAAGAGAATCTAATATCACTGGTATAACATGAAAATTAAACTTGAGCAAAATGTAAAATAATATAAGAAAATTAAAAAGATTTAAGATTCGGGTAATACATGTAGTTTACATGTTATGTGCAATTAATAACTGATTTTGCAGTATTTATCACCATATTTTACTGCGTTACTTATGATGGCAGTCAGGTCTTTTTTCGCTTATTGACCTATTTTTGGTATTAAATACATGGATTCCAAGTGCTATTTGCAATGTGTAAATTATTTTCTTTGTTCATTTCACAATAGTTTACTTTTAAATACATACAAATTTTATAATAATATTAATAATATAATCTGGAGACTGATACTTTAGCAATAAACATTAAAATCTTTTTATCTTGCTGCTTCATTAATGTATATACATACTTGAGGGCATAGATCATGGTTAAAGTGTAAAAAAAATTGGAACCAAATTAGAATGATAGGTATATTTATAAGGATAAATAAAAATATGATAATTTATAGTACATAATTATAAAATATAAGTATGAAAGCTCATCTTAAAGATTCATGCGGTTTCACTCGTCAAATAAAAGTCTAAGTTTTTTTCTTAAAAAACAGTATATTTATGGGTTTAAAATCACTTAGTTTGAGCAGGTGCACATCCCCTGTACTAACTCATGAAATATTGAAAAGTTATCAAAGAAAATACTACCTGGACCGTTATTTGTATTGGTTTTCTGACTCTCTATTGCTTAATTTAAGTCTTGTGGTATCTGCAGAGTTGTTGTTGCTGAACATGTTTCAGAGAAATACATTATTAGCTCGACTATTCGATAAGAATAAGTAGAGCTATTGCAGTCACCCAAGCGTTGGCGTCGGCGTAACCACTTATGTTAAAGTTTTTGTAATAGTTCAAATATTTTCAAAGTCCATTGACATATGGCTTTGAAACTTTGCACACTTGTTAACCATCATGACCCCAACCTGTAGACAGGAGGAGGTAACTCTATCAAGCATTTTGACAGAATTATGCCCCTTTTTCGACTTAGAATTTACGTTAAAGTTTTTGTAATAGTTCAAATATTTTCAAAGTCCATTGACATATGGCTTTGAAACTTTGCACACTTGTTCACCATCATGACCCCAACCTGTAGACAGGAGGAGGTAACTCTATCAAGCATTTCGACAGAATTATGCCCTTTTTTCGACTTAGAATTTACGTTAAAGTTTTTGTAATAGTTCAAATATTTTCAAAGTCCATTGACATATGGCTTTGAAACTTTGCACACTTGTTCACCATCATGACCCCAACCTGTAGACAGGAGGAGGTAACTCTATCAAGCATTTTGACAGAATTATGCCCCTTTTTCGACTTAGAATTTACGTTAAAGTTTTTGTAATAGTTCAAATATTTTCAAAGTCCATTGACATATGGCTTTGAAACTTTGCACACTTGTTCACCATCATGACCCCAACCTGTTTACAGGAGGAGGTAACTCTATCAAGCATTTTGACAGAATTAAGCCCCTTTTTTGACTTAGAATTTACGTTAAAGTTTTTGTAATAGTTCAAATATTTTCAAAGTCCATTGACATATGGCTTTGAAACTTTGCACACTTGTTCACCATCATGACCCCAACCTGTAAACAGGAGGAAGTAACTGTATAAAGCATTTTTTTTACTATCAAGCACTAAGAATAGTTGAGCGTTGCTGTCCTACCGACAGATAATTATAAAGATTATATGCAACATTAAAACCAAAAGCATGAAATTTTCCATGGAAACAAATTAGTTGACTTTATTTTAATCAGTTGTTTATGGTGAAACTATTTCATAACAATCTGCATATTACCTTTTCCTTCAACTGGAGAAATATTCTTTGCCGCCACTACTGTCTATTACCAGGACAGCTTGCCCATCCATGCAGTCTGATCAGGCTGGACAATGCCATTGGCTGAGTAACTCAGTTATTTAAAGGAACTTTACTGAGATTCAAAGGTTTATAAAAACATAAAATTTGAATTTCTTACATAGATATTCACTGGGAAACTTAAGACAGAAAGATATGCAAAAGATAATTTAGTAATATACTCTGAAGTTTTTATGCTATTGTTCTTTCGATTTAAGTGAAAAAGCGTCTCTTTTCAATTTTTTCAATAACAGTAATTATTCTGCATGAATGGAGTGAGGGAATGTTAAAAAAAAATGCATATCTAAACCTTCATCAATTTATTTCCAGTCCTGTCATGTCAGAAAAACCTCAATGGTGTCCCTTTAAAGCTTTCATCATGATTTATCATTATTATTATTATTATTACATTTGTATTCAATGTACCAATAATTTATATATTCAGTGGTTCCAAGCAAGAATTATTTATTATTGATATAAAACATAAGCAGCAAATTCAATTTTGTGTGTGCTGTTTTTATTGTCATGAAAAAAACACATCTCTTAGAATCCGTGCCGCAGCCTGCAGTTAAATTAAATTTTTGAAAATGAATATCAGAATGCCTGTATGAAAGTAATATAGTTGTTATTTTTCCTTTTGAGCTAATGATAGGTGGCTAAGAGTTTAAAATCTACATAAAATAGCAGTATAATAATTATGTTCCAGAACATCTTCTTCTGTTTATAAATGCACATTATTTGTGTATTTTATGAGAAAATTTCCATGACACAAATTTTTCGAAAAACAAATCTTTCAAAAAAAGACTGTAACAATAAAAATTTATGGATATTGAAATAAATATATATCTAATGAAATATATATTTTTTGTAAAAATATATATATATATATATTTGTCAGAGAGAAAACACTTGCTGGCTCCATGTATTTGTCATAAATCATTAGCATGGGATATCTATAAAAAAAACACATTTGACAGAATGTGAAAATAAAAGATGGGCTATTATTGTGATGAGCTAATGAGTCTATACTGCAATTGTAGGATCATTTATCATGTAAATTCATGTTTAAACTACACAAAATGCTACTAACTTCACCATATACCAGATAAATTGATTGTTAGACAACACATATTATAATAATTATTCTATTTTTTAAGACAATTTGATGTGTTGATTATATAGATAGACAAAAGTAATGTAATGAGCTTATTTACATTAACATGATTATTATGTAATGAATGCACAATATAATTATACATACAGATGTAAACTTTGATGGGGGATTATCCCTGCAACCCCCTTTATATGTATTACAGGTTGAATAAAATTTAATAGGGTTTTACCAGTTTGGGCCTAATAAGAAAGTAAAATAAAATGATAACAAAATAATATATTAAAAAAATGAACTAAATAATATGAAAGAAGTATTATTAATAATACTTATGATTAATGTTCAAGCTATTCCTTTTATTTCCTATGTGAATTTTAAAACATTGTGAAAAGGCCTGAAAAAAAAACAACACATGGAAACTCTTAATGGCCTGGTACAGTAGCAGGGAGAGAAATTTATACAGACAGTCTCTACAGGTGAAGCTAGCTGTAAAATCCATTAAATCTTCCAACTCTGCAATCATTCTCTCTCTCCGCTGTACTCTCTATCTAATAGTTTACCTGGCAAGTTTCCATTCTGCTCTCAAAACTCATAACTCTATGTGGATTTTATATGGAATTTATTCATTGTTTACATTTGTGTAAGTTAACATTTTTTTCTTAATTTATTTTTATTATCAGTATAGTTTGCATTACAGTAATACTCTGGTATAAGTTTTAATGTATAAGTAAAGTTTTTTTTTATTATTATAGTTATCCTAAGGTACAAGGATATTTAATTAATAAAGGACTGGGATATGTAA